TAAATGACTAAAATACTTCAGCTGGGCACTTAGGTTTACTTTCTGTACAGTACAGTACATTGAAGACTGCATTACATATCTTTTCTATCATCTCTGGAGTACTTAGGACTAATGTTGTGTACTGTTGTCTGGTATCTTTTACAAGCCACTTGGATCACTTTTGCAGCAAAATGTGTTAACCCCTCATTCCAATGGACATATCTATGGGAGATGATGTTTACTTTCCAGTTTATATTTAACCTATACAGGCTGAACCTCCTTCATCCAATTTTTCATGAATTGGAAACTCTAATGGTCTGGACATTTTTGAAGACATAATGCCTAACAACTGGCACTTGATATTATCATTATTTTTTAAATTTACTCAACTTCTGATCATGTCATATGAGTGATGTTGATCTGACTTAATATAACAGTATTTAAATTCAGTGGGTGAAAATTCATACAGTACGTACACAGTATAAATGTTTACAAAGGATAACACAGAAAGTAATAGTAGCTCTTATTTCCAATGTTTGCCAACTTGTGAATGCGTAAGTTATTTTACAAAATTAGATACTGTACGTGAATTTGGTGTCCTTATTTTTTCGTAAATTACAAAAAACTTTCCTGACACACTTCAAGTTTAATAAATGTAAAATATTAAAAAAAATATTATTATTGTGACAGAATACAGAAAGAGACAAAAGTATCTTAAAGCCAAAACTAAATATTAAAAGAATAAATCATACCTCATAAACGCTAAGGTTTTATGATGTTGGAACCTCGCAATGGCAATACTCAATGACGCTTCATCAAATTCATTTGAAAATCATTGTACTGTACTGTATCTTGAAATAATACTTTTTTCTCAATCTATAACCCTCTATTGCAAAACTGAGATAATAACTAAGAACTTTAATGCTACTGTGGAGTTGCGATAATTTGGAAAATAAATATTTGCAGGTACCTACCTCTATTACAACCTCTTCTTTTTTTTCAGTCAAGTATTCATAATTTGTGGCCAAGCACCAGCTGCTGCAGCATTTATTCACACAAAAAACCATTAAGTTGTGATCCCTTTTCAATACTTTAATTTGACTTAGAAATAAAGAAAATATAATACTACAGGGTATAAAACTATAAAATATGAGAAGTGATAAATAGGGAGTGAATTGTGTGTGGGAGGCAAGGCAATTGGGTGGTGAATTGAACTTCCCTCTCCCCCCAATCCTGAGCGCTTGGCACCCCTCAAACTTCATTAACACTGTACAATATAATACAGTGAACCCTCAAAGATTCAGACCTGGTACATCCAGATTTTAGAAGATTCAGACAAAATTTGGGGGTTCTGGGGGCTAAGAGGCCTCCTGAGAAGCATTCCAAAAACAGAGCAACGATCATCTTAGGCACGTGTGACAAAGATGTCAGCGCACAGGACACAGGTGCCTGAGGCGGGAAACATGAACAGAGTTGTTAACTATTTGTGGAAATATTATTTCACTCACCCTAGTAATGATACAATGTTTCTTATTAAGTTATCATAGGTAAATGAATGGTTTATATAATTTGTTTACCACTGTGCCTGTGACTGTTTTCAAATTAGACTAAAGATAAGTATTTCTCCCATATGTACTATTTTGATTGTACGTCTGGCAACGGGAGAGAGTGAGTGTCATCTACTCTTGTAACTCTGTTCGCTCCCTGCCATAGTTCACTCGATTTACTGTTATTACTAGTGTTTACTGATATAATAGTGCTTAATAGTAATTAATCGTGGCATTGTAGCCAGGTTAACTCCTCACTGTAGCCACCAGGCTGTGAGGTGTTATGGTTGTTTTTCAACTCGTATTTTCAGGTAGATATACGTAACTTTCTTCATTTCTTTTTACTCGGTTACATGCACACACCATCCTACATACATATACAGTATATGTATTGTGAAAAAAGTATAAGAAATATTTGTCCTAAGGGCAAACACATAATGGGAGAAAAGCGCGAAGTGTAGGGGGTGGGGAGAATTGCTAGGGAATCGGCATCCCAGCTGGTCTTCGTTACTGTGGTGAAGCAAGGAATGCATAAAAATGGAGACTGTGTTAAACTTTCATTTGGCTTTCATTTACTGATTAGGCAATATAGTTTTTTGTAACTTATTTATTGGTATTATTTTTATTTATTCCTTACATTTCCTGGTACCGTATATATTATTTTAAGAAAACTATGGCTACAGGGGGGAAATACACACAAAAGTTTTTTCCTAAATACTCCCTGCTAAAGGGGGGGGGCACCTTATATGCCATAAAATACAGTATACAGGTTGTACCTCTCTAGTCCGGCAACCTCGGGACCTGACCGATGCCGGACCATGGAAATTCACCCTTTTCCTGGATAGATAGTGACTTGTGCTTATGCTTGGAAGCACTAGCACCATTTTCTCTGCATCATGGTCTCTTTGAAGACATATTGAAGGGTTAAATGTCGTATAGTAGCTTCTCAAATTTCGCGAGTTTTTAATTCTCAACGTATTTTATTGGAACACAAAAAAATAAATAAATCAAAATTTGGACGGCGGAAACTTGAATTTCGACGGGTTTGAACGGCCCGCCAACGTGCAGACGACGTGCATAATCGTGTAAACAGCGTCATTTCTCTTATGTACAAAAGATTCATTATTATTTATTACTGAATGTCTTTCTATTGAATTAATGTTTATGTGTGCAAAATGAGCAATACAATTCATTAATAATACGTAGAATATTAAAACACACTTGGAAATGACACAGCATTGTTTTCGTTGATTAGAAAACCAGTGACTGACTGGTTCTACATATAAAACTAAAGAAAATAAGACCCTGGTTGTAGCTGTATTAAATTAATATGGTTGTTTTAAGTCATGTTATTTAATGTTAATAAATGGAACAACAGAAGTAGCTAATGATAATGGGAAAGAAAAAAGAGAGATCGCGTATGTAAGTGCGCACACGTGAAAACATATCGTCATTACTTTACATAAGAATATGAAAGCAACACTTATTTACTGTTCATATATATTTTAATTAATGTTTCTGAATTTGTTTTTATTGAATTAATGTTTGTGTGTGCAAAATTAACAATACAATTTATTAATAATACGTGGAATATTAGAGGAGACGAGACGGCTGCCGGCATTGTTTATGTTAAAGCTTACGAAACCAGTGACTGATTGGTTCTACACATAAAATTGAAGAAAATAAGACCCTGATTTTAGCTGTAGTAAAATTAATGTAAAAAAAAAATATGGTTGTTTGAAGTACCTGTAATGTTATTTAATGTTAATAAATGGAACAATGTAAGTAGCTAACCATTAATGGTAAAAAAAAAAAAGTGAGACTGCGCGTATGTAAGTGCGCACATGTGAAAACATATCGTCATTACTCTACATAAGAATATGAAAGCAACACTTATTTACTGCTCATATATATATATATATATATATATATATATATATATATATATATATATATATATATATATATATATATATATATATATATATATATATATATATATATATATATATATATATATATATATATATATATATATATATATATATATATATATATATATATATATATATATATTTTTTGAAGGGTTAAATGTTGTACTCTGTATAGACAAGCACACGATGCACACACACAGACAGAGAGAGAGAGAGAGCAGCTGAACTGCCGGATGTAAACAAACCTTAATTTGTCGCAGCTTTTTTTTTAAGGGAATTAGCCCACCCGGGCATAGGTCACTGACCCACATTGGGGCCTGAGGGGCAAAAATTTAATACTTCTGTACTCATAATAATAATAATTCAGATAAGTAAAAAAAAAAAATTAAATAAAAAGAAAAAGAAAAAAAAAAGGCTGCCTATCTACCTATTGGACAAAATAAAATCGTTCCGAACCACAGGAGTTTCCGGACCACAAAATGCCGGACTAGAGAGGTACAACCTGTACTGTAGTTTTGGTGTTTTTTTATTTCATTTATCGTTTTTATACATTTAGTACATTCACCGGAAGATTAGGAAAATTGGCTTTTTTGGACAGGTGGTTTAGTCCGGATCTTCGAGGGTTCGCTGCATTAGGTAATTTCACCATAATTCCCATATTATTTAGGTTCAGTTGATACAGTATCAGAGTCATAAAACATCATCATAGGGTAATCAACCCCCCACCACCACCACCAAAAAACAAAAAAAAAATACCACTCTCCACCCAAGTTGAGTTATTCTGAGATATTAAATTCCTGGTTCATTGTTTACAAAGTGCGGTCACAGCCACCCCAGCGAAAGCCTATCTCGATGTTGTTGTACTGGCGCAACTGACATGATGATTATGTGAATGGAAGGAGCTGTTTATATAAAGTTCAATATCTGTGATGTTTAGTGTTTATTAAAGCATCATAAAGCTTTTAGGGCTCTTGTACCAAACTAATACTTTCCAATTAAACCAATTAAACTATAATTCGAGATTTGATAATTCACGATGTCTTCTGTTACCGAACAAGCAAATTATCGTGACTCCACCGTATTACATAAAGTGCTAAATACCGCTGTTACCGAGTGCAAGAAAGGTAAATAAACTATTACGAGTACTGTACTGTGTTATGGTTCTCCTAAGAAATTTTTACCTTATACTTTATATGCAAACTTCCTTGAACCAGAAAATATTATGATCCATCTCTGCTCAGGTCCCAAGGTTGCTGGACTGGAGAGGTTTAACTGTACTTAGCAAGATTTAATTCACATATCTACCAGAGGTTTGCTAAGGTAATTCCAAATAGTAAAAATACTCAGAACAAAAATGAGTCACAAAATCATTATTCTTATTTTACTCCAAAATACTGTCTAATCATCAATATTACTTATGCCAATCTTTTCAATAAGCAAAATTAACAATAGCTCTACCTGTATGTTATACCCTTTCTTGTCCCATAAATGATTAAGTAAAAGCAGCACAGAAACGGACAGACTTTATTCAGTTACTCACTGTCCAAATCTCCTAAATGCTTTAGAAAATCAACTACTTCTCCTCAGCAACTGAAAAAAATGCAATTAATAGCATATCACCCAGATTCACAGGTATAAGAAAAATTAAGCATTATCATACCTGCTGCTGAGATAACAATAAAACAAGGATAGTCACTAAAAAGCACTGCTACCTCCAACATATTGGCAATATAAAATAAAGGAATGGGCTCATGCTTATTACTAAAATTTTCAATTAGTTGAGCAAAAATCAATATCACAGAAATTATATGTACCGCATTTGCCAATGTACAAGTTGAACCAGCGTTAATTTGACCAACTTTTCAGCTAAAAATTCATGTTTAGAATTATTGGTGCCCCAAACACTGATCATCTACTGATTTAGGGCTCACCACATAAGCAATGTTATAATAAATACTGGTAATAAATAACTGCTGTATGATAACATGAGATGCACTATAGTGATATGAGCTAATTTGAAGGTCTGAGTCAGGTCATTTACCAGCAACTTTGCCTGACTTGGGTCTGGCCCCAATGGACTAACCAGAGGCAGCTGTGATGTCAGGTCACTGTCCTATAGCCTCTTTAAAAGGCTCCTCCTAGCCTTTCACACTCATTCAGATAGCAAGGCTAGTGACCCTTTCAAAATCTTCTCATAGCACCCTAAGAAACATGAACATACAAAACTGGCCTCAAGCTAAAGATTGTAGCATAGGTTCAAAGTATGTATAACCTATGGTCTTAATAGAATGTAAACACTGAGATAGAGGAATCAAACTGGCAACCACTTACACTGGAGATCATTCACCTCAAAATGTGCTTGGAATTTAAGGTACGACAATTCCTTGTTAAGGAGATTTTTGGTGGGCTTCGAAGACCAACTTATACACCAACAAATACAGTAATTACTTTGTAAATAAACATTGAAAATTCACATCGAGTATCTACAAAGGGCTAAATACCATAACCATGAAAATGCAAACAAAGAACTCAGTAACAAAACTAAATTTCAGAATGGGAGCAAGATCATACTTCAAGGAGATTACCACCACTTTATAAATAACAAAAAGTGCACAACTATACAATACAGTACTGTATATACTGTATGTCAAGTTATTGGTTTTCACAGGTAATTTTAGTTAAGTGTCCCTCTGTGAGCTAAAATGTAGCATTTGCATAAAATCGTAAAAAAAAAAATATTTATTACAAATTTGATGCACCTCATTGTTAGCATTTCAACAGTTTGGCCAAACTGCTTCCAAACTCAACCTGGAGTTTTAAGGTGCAGGAGATGATGTAAGTTCAGTGCATCCGAAATTACTGTACAGTATAGTATCAAGTTAATGCAATTCCAATCTTTTTTTCTTGCAAATCTTTTCCTGCAATGTGATTTATAAAGGTGTTTCTGTTCCACAATATGGCCACAATGCATTCATTTAATTCACAGTCATTTTACACAATATCCCAGTATTATACATTACTGTACTGCAGTATCATGTACGTACGTACGTGTGTGTGTGTGTGTGTGTGTGTGTGTGTGTACAGTGAACCCTCACTTTACGCGGTCAATTGAACCCACGGCGGCCTGCGTAAAGTGAGAAACGCGTAAAGTGAACAACATAACATATGGGATTAATTGAAATAGAGACCGAGCTGACCCCCAAACTCCACTTTTTCAGACACAATACCTACGTTGTAGTAAAAATAACTTCTTAATTTTATGATGGTATGCACACACAATTAATAATTAAGAGAAATATCAATAATATTAGGTTTTTCAACACTTACATTTGTAGAAAAGATGGCTGGGCACACGGGGATGGGGGGTTGGTTCCGAGGCAGAGGGCAGATTATTGGCCCTCACCTGTATCACTTGTATCAATTGTATCACTATCCACCACAGAGGCTTGCAGGGCCTCTTTGTCAAACCCCTCAAAGTCCATATAAGTCCATATCCTCACTATCATTATCACTATCACTGACTTGGGCCGGCTGTGGTGGGTGAAGAACTTGGTAAGGTTTTGATGACTGGGCGACCTTGTGCGCACCCTGCTCGCGCCGCTCTCCGCGTAAAAGGGTACACACACCGCGGAAAGTGAGCATTCCGGTTTCGGCAGGGTACCGCGTGAACATGGAAACGCGTAAAGTGAAACCGCGTAAAGCAGGGGTTTACTGGAGTTTGCACTTAACAAAAATTTTAGTAATCATTTTGTACATTATTTTGAGTACATGTACAGTACAGCTTTGCCCTTAGGACAGTGTGTGCATGTAAATGAGTAAAAATAAATGAATAAAGTTACACATTTCGAGCCAAAAAAATAAGTTGAAAAACTTTATGTAGACAGAGCTTGGATGGCTAAATTTTAGAATGACCAATAATTTTAACATAAAAAATGCAAAACTATTCAAGAACACAAATTTCTTGATATTTACTCCACTGGAAACAAATGCAAACATAGAACCGATTACTGTATTGGCAGACTAGCTAATCGGCTGATGCGCACAACAAAGCATGTTTCTCCTAAGGCTTTCGTTAATCAAAGTTTTGTTCGTTAATGAAACTGAAAATCCTTATGGGAGCTAATTCGTTTATCAAAATTTCATTAATTGAACCATTCGTTAATCGAGGGACCACTGTATACTCATCTTACTGTCATAAGAAAATTCTTATTTTTGGGGGGGTATTTTGTTTAACCTACATACAGTATTGCTCTAAAGTCAATCTTTTCCAGTGCTTTCATCCTGCTTCTTCCTCTAACAACCAAAGTCCATGTTTAACAATTACAAAATATTGTAAATTTAACTAGAGTACTGTAACTACTCTCCTATATACCAACGTTTCATCTTCTGAATCTATCTTTCTCATCACACACTGCCTAATATACCCATTACTTTCTTTCTTCCAGATACTTCTTGACTCAACTAATTACCTATTGTTTCATTCGCTAACATATTTCATCCATTTTAACAAAGGGGTAAGCAATGATATCCACATAGAAATCTTGTCCTACAGTATATGCAGTTGGACCTCATTTCTAGGTGCCCTTTGGAACCAGGCCAAAGGTGCTTTATAAGTAGGATTTAATTATAAAAAGTTTTTGCGATAGTTTGATGAGCCATTATTCATAGGGAGATCAGTTGGTTACATACACATATTAAAAATTAATTCCAAACTTTATAACTCATAAAACAAATACATGTAATTTGACTTTTTTGTTAAGTTACCCAATGATTGACTGTGCTGTTTGATTAATCACACAGGTCTTATAATTTGTAATAGCTTTGAGTGAGCACAGATAATCAATTGAAATTACAATTCCTCAGTAGTTGGGAAAAGTTTTACAGAACAATGTACATTGTGTGTGACCTGTAGGGTGTGCATCGTTCTTTAAACATGAGTTCTAAAATATTTGGCTCATTGTAAGAGACTTTATATATCGAGTACAAATCATGCTTTTACTGTAGTGATCATAATAACTCGGGACTTGTTATCACCAGTGCCTCATAGATAGATCAAACTATACATCAGTAGGCAACTAGTGAACACCATTATCAGTCACCAATATTATTTACTTAAGTATTCATCAAGTTTATCACTAACTGGTTTTACCAATAGTATGCCATAAAAAGCTACAAAACAAAGAAAAATAGATGGATGATTAAAAATAGACATGTATTAGAGTACAATACTGTACCACTATGTGGGAATGAAAACTGAATAACTCATCAAGGTATTATGCCAAAGCTGGGGACAATTTAGGTTGGTTTGAAGCCTAAGATGTGAGGAATAGCTGAGGTAAAAGGCAAGAAATGTCTAGATTTTACCATTTATGGCAAAATCCACATGACAGGGTTTTAAGGATAGTAAACACTACTTGAATGTGAGAGCAAAGTGTTTAAGATAGTAAATGTAATTCTTTACATGTACAGGGAATTAACATTTGTGTGTCAGGCACATCAAAGAAGCTACTTGGGATGATCTTAAATGTTGTGCTCTCCACTTATTATTATTTTTTTTAATATAATGTTCGGAACCTTAAGAAAACAAAGAGATTATCTTGACAAGACAGAGTATAACACTGCAGCAAAAACATTCTGCATACTGTATAACTTTCACCAAAGGATAGAATTCTACCAATGAGGAACATACATGTCTAAAATTAGCATTGAGCAATGATGTATATGAAGACAAATATTATTTAGTAAAATTACACCTTACACAAAATTAATGCTATAGCCAAGCCAGATCTCATAAATCCAATAATGCAAATGTGAAAAAAAGTTGAAAAGAGAGCATAAGCTCATCACACAGCCTCATTCCTACACATAATGGTTCACTTGCTTACTTAAGCCACAAGCTAGGCTTCAATTCCACATGCATAAACCCACAAAAAATGGAGAAATAGCAAATTGTGTTCGTTATTTGTCTTTTCTCACGCGCTCAATTCTAATCATTATATTTTCAGATAGGAAACATGACAAATCATACCCTAATTTCTGTAAAACAAAACCTTCAAATATTAATTCCTGAGCAAAATATATACATTGGCATATGGTGCTTAGGCACTAACAAAATGTTCTTCCTGAAACCTAACAGCAACTTGAAGATTAAGAATCTTGCTAACCTTCTGAAGCATCAATAACAGCCATACCTGGTGTATAGGTTGGCTGATTGCTTATATTAAGAGAAGTGCTCTCATTAGCTGATCCACCCATGGCAAAAGGATTGGTTGGATTAGTAGATGTGGGCTGTGGTGGAGGCATGGCAAATACAGGCTGGCCTGCTCCTGCACTGCTCTCACCTGGTCCACCTGGAGTCCTAAGAACGAAGAAAATAAAGATAAGAATACTATATATAAGAGAAAAATGTAAGAAGCATTATTTTATCTAAAATAATTACTTCAGAAATAAACTATAATTTCTGATATTTCAAAGGCTATAAATTATAAAGAATTATATAATGTATAAACAGTACAGGGTATTTGATGAACTTTACTGGGTGTGCATCCATGAATTATCTTCACATTCATGATAAATGTGCATTACAGTCACAATCTTCAAAACTATTTACTTATGTACAGTCACGAAAAAACTCTCTCTTCTCGGGAGGGACAGGGCAAGGATCATATACAATAAGGACACACCGCTTTAACATCATAAACTTTAGCTCTGCCCCATTCAATGATGTCATGCTACCTGTAGTGACCACAAGGACTACGTCCTTGCCTTGGTTGACATTTGATCGTTTCATTTTTTCTTTAGAATACACGCAAGGCTAAAGTTTTTCTGTGGCCAGATATAACAAGCATAATAAAAAAAAGGGGGGGGGGGATTTTTTTACAAGAAAACACCCAGGGTGTGTCGGGCATTTCACTGATGACATGGACGAAGCAACCCAATTTTTGAGCTTATTAGCAATGTAAAGAAGATACTGCCTTACAACGCATACAGTAAGTCCTCGCTTAACGTCGGGGTTACGTTCCTAAAAATGCGACGTTATATGAAACAACGTTCAGCGGATCAATTTTCTTCATAAAAAATAGATAAAATACGGGAGTTACGTTCATGAAATACATACAGAAAATCATTGCCATTTCTATAGAAAATAGTGCATACATATACAACTACAGTACTGTACTAAGTTTGTATTGGTACTCACCGATGAGCAGAGGTGGTAGAGCGAGTGTGTGGTGGGTAGTGAAGCAGAGGAGGCGGATGGTGGGAGGGAGGAGCGTGGCGGGAGTGGAGGAGAGTGGGAGCAGAGGAGGGCAGGAGAGGAGGAGGGTGGCGAGTCACTGAGACTGCGCCAAGCCGAGAGAGCGTAGCGGGGCCAGACGAGAGAGGGTGATGCGCCGTAGAAAGTACAGTAGTCTGTGACGACGTAAAACGACGTAGTATCGGATCACCGGGACGTTATACAAATTTTTGGTCTCAAAATTTTAGCGACGTAGTACCAAAACAACATTAAGCGGGACGATGTTAAGGGCGAACTTACTGTACTTAAGAAATAGTGCAAGTTTCTCTAGGCGTTAAGCATCACGACTGTTGCTGGTGAATTAAGTGATGTAACTCTGGTTTTTGTTATATATATATATATATATATATATATATATATATATATATATATATATATATATATATATATATATATATATATATATATATATATATATATATATATATATATATATATATATATAATATACTTTTTTTGACATGGCAAGAAGAATGTCTCGTGGTCTTCTGTATGAACTGAGATTGACTGACATTGCAGAATTAAGAAACAAGAAATCTTCCCTAACATCTTGAAACGAGCAATGTTGACACCTGAAACCCACGTACAATACAGATGTACTTAACTTTAATTTTTTCAGGATTATTAATATGTTCAGAGTTCTTTTTGGGCACGTATAGCAAGATGAATGTCTCACCTTCTTGGAGTTACCTGGATATCGACAAACATTCCAGAACTAAGGAGATAAAAGAAATATGAACTCTCTTCAAACAACTTCTCGGCTAGCCTAATGTGTTTATTTTATCGGAGCGCTTGCAGGCATTTATCCATTTACCACAATTTTTCTATCTCTGGTATATTTGTGTTACTTGATGTGCTCTCTGATTGGGATCTCAGCTTTGCTGGTGCACCCTATATTGCACAAATAACTATAATTGTCACGGGACCAGACACGGAGGTTATCAGATGATGCGTGTTTACAACAGTGGCATCACCAAGCTGTGCATTGTGGGTAAAACAAGTGCCCAGTGAACTATCCTTACTGTCTCAACTCCTTGGCATGGGGGGTCAAAGAATTTTGAATGAACACTGCGACTCTTGTTCTCTCGGTGGGGTTGCCAAAATCCTTCGTCCGTTACGTCATATTTTTCAACACAATTTTGTATACGTAGATAGTTTTTTTGAGTGACTGTACATAAAAAAGGAGCATTATTATTATGCAAACTGTCAAACAAAAAAATTTACCTGAATCAACTCATTTATACTTTTCATTTAAATGGGCAATTAAATATTCATGCATGAAGCATACAGTGCAGTATCATTACATGGTAAGACAGTATATCACATGCCACAAAAACTTGCAAAATCTGAGTAAGACTTATTTGAACTACTATAATAGTCTTGCAGGTAAAAACAATATTGTATGTCACATACACCAGAAAAGAAAGAAATATACTGTATATAGCTTGGCACCTATTACACATAATGCACAGAGTTGAAGTTTGGCTTTTGAAAAGAAAAACTACCACTTACAGTTCCATTCTTCCAAAATGTTTCACTTCCTAAGATTATTTTCTTCAAATCAAATAAAACTGCCTTACCCTTTATCCTTTTACTATATATCAACAGCTTTATTCTTATGAATAACAAGACAAAAATAGTTGTATGACTACTATTACATCATAGGGAGCTAAAAGTAGAAGATTATTTACATGTACAGTATTTCTGTACTGTTATTTTCTTATACAAAAGAGTTAAACTATTTCATGCTTTAACAAAAAGACTAGTCCTGTACATCGGTAACAGCATACCGGTTTTCAGGTAAATCCGGTTTCCTGGAAGCTGGATGTATGGTCTGGTACAGTTGCAGAAATGTGTTCCTACACCCCCTGTGGTAACCCGTGTCTCCAAATGGCATTGTCGCAGTAGTAGTATCACTATTTATGATAGAATGGGTAGTGGTCATGTAACGACCACGTTGGTAGATAGGATTGCTATAGGTCGTATTGGTTGGCTGTTTGGAGACGGGTTGCCACAGGAGGTGTAGAAACACATTTCCACAACTGTACCTATACAGTATTATGACATGGATGAGTTCTATTGTAAGAACATAACAGAACATACTGTACAATATAAAAAATGGGAGGGTAATATTAGCAAGTCTTCTGATCTCACTATATTTACATAACAAATGACATGGGGAAAAAATCCAGTACTGCACAGTGTATAGCACTCTAGATCGGGCAAAAGAGGTTTTCCCTTGCTCTTAGTTTTGATTCCCAGTCAGAGTGGAGGAATACGTTTCTTTCTCATACACTGCAATAACATGATTGCACTAGCAAATGTTCTTACTGATGGTGGAGAAAACCCTTCTATGAATTAGCATCATGCCAAAGGGAAGGTATCCCAATAACCGCTGAGTGAAAGAATCATCAATTCAACACCTGTCTACCATCCTGTATCATACCAAATACTGTAAAAGCATCTACAAGACTAAAAATAATAGATATTTCTTGATGAAGCACATAATATCCCATATAACCCAAAAAAATATCTATTCAAAGATGCAAGTCAATAAAGTTAAATGGCCTTATGTGTAAAATCAATCCTTAAGCTTAAGACTGATAAACTCTGTGATTTGAAAATTGTGTGTGAACATAATACAGCAGTACTGAAAGTAACTTCCTTTGTATTAAATGACATAAAAAAAATTACTTCCTTTGTAATGTACAGTAACTAAAACAACTATCTGTGCATACTTTGTGGGAAACAATATGAGACCAAGGACGATAAATTTTGGTATATGAGGGCTGCCACTAGTCACACGTAAAATTTTGGAGCATATCAACCCCCACCTGCACAGATAGTTGTTTTAGCTACTGTACAAGATAAAAATAAATAAATTTAAGGTCATAAGAAAATTCTTCAAGCGCCAACATAAAATGTCAGAATAAGGCCAGAATTTGAAGAAATACTCAGGAAATATGTAGCAAATAAGTTAAGACAGTAAAATTTGTATCTGAATAAAAACACTGTACAGAATGCCTGATAACAAGGCACATGCCTTTCAAATTTGAATTACAGTACAGTATGTTAATTGAGGTGATAAGATACGGATAAGAGCCTCATGTATTCTAAATAACCTACAGAGAGCACAACTTCCCCTAAAACAGGATAACACATTGAAAGATAAAATGAACAAGTTCCATATTTGAAGGAAATTTGTTGATATCTAAAGAAATAAAAGTGTAATCTGTTCCAAAACCAGGCATAAGAAGTCAAGATAACCTAAAACAGACACAGCATACCAAATGAAACTAAGGAAGTGGTCCACCCAAAATCAAGGAAATTGGACTAAGTGCTGTTCAGATATCAATACGAAAAACATCTCCTTAACCCTTCACTAAGGGATGCCACTTTTAATATTGCATTTGGCAAATGCCAGACAATTTTATTCAGCTCAGAGGGGGGTCTACAAGGGGTTAAAAACATTTTAGAAAAAGAACTGTGTCAAGGGAAGCAGGTTAGCATATATTGTGGAACTGCTGAAAAAATAGTATTTATAAGAGTGGAACAAGAACTCTAGATGAAAGAGAAAGAAGAAGCAAAATGTGAGAACAATAGGATGATAAGAATAAGAAAATCAGATGGAGATGTGGAAATGAAAGAAGTGTCTGACAGAGCTAACTTGGGTTTGCTAAGGTATAAAAAATCAAGTCACCCACAAGTTAAATTCAAACCAATGTATTGAGGTGTTGCTTAATTTTGAATATGAAAGCAACCTTTTTTAAACAGGCTGTAGTTATTCCCCATATTGCCAATAATAAATAATGGAAGCCCCTCGAAATCGAGGATGGTCGGCCCAAGGGCCTCCTAGGCGTGAATTTGTTAAGGTGTAGAAGCTGTCGCCAACACAACAACCACATGCCAAGTTAACAAGCTGCATGACCCAGTGTCAAGGAATAGTCCGAGAAGACCGGACAACTTGCCAACTGCACTGGCTAACCATTACCTCCGAATACAATCCGCAAATCGATTAACATCCAGGTTCCCAATTACTGCTGGGTAGACAGGGGCAAATGGCGTAAAGAAACTTGCCCATAGTTTCACCCTGCCCGAGGATAGAACTCGGGTCCGCTCGCTTGCGAGGCGAGGATGCTGACTATTACACCACAGGTTGCCAATAGGGACATTACTCAAAAACCACTGAACTAACTACATGATGTGAAGGCAAGTGTTTCAAACTGAACTAAATTTCTAAAAAGCATTCCTAAAATACAGTATGAATAAAGACTAGATAGAATTATGAACAAAGTATTGCATTCTGTTACCAAACAGGATACCATGGATAAATATCCTTCCAAATCAATTTAGATTAATACATATACATGGTGTTTCAGAAATACATTTCATAATTCTGGGTGTGTATTCCTGAGACAAATGGATAAATGACGTTGTGACCATAGTTGTCAATACCCCACAGTGAGTGTGTGTGTGTGTACACACATACCATATTATTATGGCAAATAAGACGCACAGCCATATAAGACACACCCCCTATTTCAGCAGGAGTGTTTAGGATTCATTTTTGTGTTTCCCTGGTAGAGGCAAATTCAATACAACTTGAAAACTTAAACAAGTAATCCCAGGGATGCATATAAAAGAGTACTGTACACAAAATCTAACAGCTATAAATGGGATATTTCTGGATGATTCTCTTGACAAATTTGGTAGACAGGAAAATGTACTTACAGATGGATGGATAGGTGCGAATCAATACTGTATGCCACCTTGCACGTGCAATGGGGACACAAATAAAAGCAGACCTAAACACTCAGAAACCCCTATCAAACTCAAACAGGCACAAGTACGAGAACACTCATGCATGCAAAACCACCAGTATACTATGTCCCCATCTCAAGGCACACACCTACAACCTGAAGAGCACATGCCTGGCAGGATGTGGCATAAGGATCTTTCAACAAAATTTCTAATTTCCTTTTCTTGTTCCTTCTGCACTCTCCACAATTTACAAAAGTATGACAAAGTTTCTTAATTCTTTAAAACCACCATTTGGCTTGATACAATGCTGAACAACATTTAATGGGTTTATAGCCAAGTAAGGCTGCTTATTATTCAATGGAACTTCCACTGCTTATAATCAAAACATTTGAGATTTTATAGTGATTTAATGCTGACCATCTATAAATATGACTGAACAAACATTTACAGTAAGGTTAACTGCATGATCCACCCTGTTTGAATTTGGGGAAATGGTATATGTGACAAAAAAAAAAAAACTTGGAACTTGCTTTTCAATAACAGAATAAAACATGAGAAAATAACAATGTTAATCATGTAATCACTTATATTTTTTTCTTAGTCTCTAATGCATTTACAATACTGAATGTAAGTACACAAAGGACAGTAGCACATCATCTTAATAATAATTCCAGCATGTTTGCACACCTGCATGGGAAAGATGTACAAATGCAATATATATATTTGCATTTTAGGAATGGATGCAACTTGAATGCATAAAAAGAGGAAAGAAAAAATTTCAGTGCCAATCCACGAGCATAAATCTCTACAAGCTCTTAAGGAAACCTGGCTAATTCACATTCACTACCTGAAGGGGTTGGTAGATGCTGATTTGCCTTTATTCTGGTTGAACATCTCCTCCTGCCTGTAAATTCACCAAGATATATTCTCACTTTCTGATGACCTAAACAATATCTTACTGGTCAAACATTGTACACAAACACGTTTCTTTTACTGTGTAACTAATAGGAATGAAGTGGCTAATGTTTAAACAGTAAAATATTGACCTGTCCACATGGGATCTTACCAAGGAGATAGGTACAAAATCTGTCGATCTATTACTTACCTACAAATCGAACAAATGAACAACAAAAGTTAAATCAAACAATCTGCATGTTTCTATAAGCAGAGCCTTGGATATTTCAATAAACATTAATATCTTTCTCATCACATAATTTGGGCATCCATTAACACACTTTAATTACGATGTAATAATTATATTAACCCTATTTTTTTCAAATAAATCCACTATTCGTCTTTTATTGCAAGCCCCTACAATACTTGGAAATTAAAACTGAACAATTCAATAAATTGCTTTCATTACAAAGCATGAAAGCATTGGCAACTAAAAGCATAAGGATTATTTTAGTAAGAGGCATAAGAGTGGCAAGAATAAAAAAGTGGAGGAGAGGGAGGAGAGAGTGAGGAGTTTTTGCTCCCTTGTCATGGGCATATAATTTGCATATTAAATGTTTAAATGTTTAAATTCTATGCCAATTCCTTGTATCTAATTGAATTACATATCAATGCATTCTGAAATCGACAGAATCAGTAGTCTTTCTGGTTTGTATCAACCATGCATCCATGTACACATCTAAAGATTTTACACTGAAGAAATTCCAGTACGATATATTGTATGCTTATCATTAGCAAACCATGTACCTTTTTATCTTACAAGTCTTTTCTCTATAAGCTGTAATGGTCAGAAATAAGACCAATACTGTACAGATTTTCCCTTCATTCACTTTCATCAAATCACTACGGTAACTGCTTTTAACAGCCCTATAAACCATTCATTGCCAAACTCTATCGGTTTATGGATGTTCATTCCCTCACTTCTAGCCTGTCCTTTAACCTATCCTTTCAGTTCCTTTATTACCTTCTCTTCTCCCTCCTACCACCCACCTCTGAATTAGGGTGAGTTTACATGAGACGTGTTACTAGGCACCAGTTCTGATGCGATAGCAAGTAACTCCTTTCACGCCCCGTGTCAAAGGTTCCACAAACTGTGTGTAGCTTGCCCCTAGGGTTAGCAGACTAGTATGTTTTCACTCGCCTGGAACTTTGTAGTCACTCAAATTTTTAGTCACTAGTGTGGCAATGGAGCAGGCAGTTGTAATTAGTGGCACTGGCTGTTTGACTCATAAATGTTCAGTGCTGTTTGAAATGTATCTTATTACATTTTTTATGTTTACAGTTTCAGATTTATATTTAATAATCTTTGTCTCAAGAAATTTAAGAACACGGCAGGATTTTCAGCCGATAGTTCATTTAGAAGAGAAATTGAAGCACCGAGTTCTGTTTTTCTTTCAATCCAATTTTCCTTTTTCTTTTCTCCTTAAATTTTCAATTAAAACTCTGATGGACACAATGAGGAGTTGCCTGGAGAACATCTTGTTACCAGCTAGTCTGTAACTCATGCACTGGTGCTGTTCCTACAGATTTATCTGCAGGTTTATGATTTCACATGTCCATTCTGATATATTTTTTTAATAGGGTTAAATATAATGGTTTTCAGGTCCAATACTTGCTTGTCACAAATTTTATTGGGAGGAAAAGACATAATAAAAAAATTATGTTCATATTTAAATGGCACCACTGCTGGTGTGAGTAGGCACTAAATGTCAACAGCCACTAGTATGCTAGTGCTAGCACGGAAAGGCTCCTCTCACTCGTCTCCTGAGCTAGCACTTTAGTAACACTCCTCGTGTAAATATACTCTTATACTGTCAACAACCTTTTACTTCCCATTCTCTCAGTATGTCCAGCACACCTTGGTTGGCCCTTTGTTAGGCACTTCCTTCACATTTACATCATCTAGCCACTTGATTATTTTTATTCCCTGCATCTTGTTCACCCAGCATATTGCTCTCAAACACAAAATTTCTATTGGACATAATTTGCTCTTTCCTTTTACTTCTACATTTTGTTTCACACCAATAAAGTACTGGTGGTTTAACATTTCTCCTACACTTCCCCCTATCTACCGTCTTGACATGGTTCTTTCTCTCCATACATTTCTAATTACACCTAATATTTTGTACAGTATTCCTCCACTCATTGACACATACACTCCCAGATATCTGAAATACCCAACTTTCTTAATTATACTGTACCACCGATCAAACTACAGTAGTCTTTATTTCTCCCAATCTCATTTCTCAATTCATCACTTCAACTCACAATTAACATTCTACAGATACACTCTTTCAAGATTACTTGTACTTACTAACATTTATGATATTTACAAAAAACCACCGTCAGTTGCGAACAGTTACTGACTCGCTTCTCATCTGCATTCTATCAAAGTTGTACCATTCCTAATTTCTCTTCCTTTCACCTACCCTTGTACCCCATGCACAAAAATACTTAACAACCTTGGCAACATTATATGTGCTTGTGGTAGTCCAGCTTCCAATGGAAACCAGTTACCATTATCTTGACAAACTTTTACAAATGTTTTATTATCATGGTAATATAAACACCGCAATACCTAATTTTCACTTTTATTTTTCTGACACTAGACTTAATTCTCCTCATCTGTCTGGGGCCCCAGCACACTGCTCCTTTGTCCTTCAAATTATTATTCCCCCATACACAGCCAGGATATCAAAGTACAGGTAACTCGCGTTTTACGTGCGTTTGATTTAATCGTTTTTGGAATAACCCGATTGTTCAATTAATACCAAAAGCTAATTTACGTGCACCTATTTTTTAAATAACGCACTCACGGCAGTTTAAACTTGCCGTGCGTATTCGCCTGGTCGCCTGGCAGTGGAGTCGCGTGTGATGCGTGTGCTTGTAAGTTATTACTATAAACTCGCATTCATATCAACATAAACAATCTTAATATTATTATTAATAATAATAATTATAATAATAATAATAATGTAAAAGATTATTACTACTAATGATGAAGATAATGAAGTATTCTGTACAACAACTGTGACGACGTCAAGCAAGCTTCCCGCGTAACGCTTTCTCAGTTCACACCAGCACTACTTTTCCTCTGTGCTCTCATTTGCATTGTGTGTTTATCACGTACCTTTTTAGTGTTACATGCTGTTTTCCCCATTGAGCACATCTGGAAAACGTCCATCTGCCTCCTCTGGGGCGCTTAAAGCTAAAGAGGCACGAAAAACAATCGCAATGGACGTGAAATTAAATGTGAACATCCGCCTTTAGAGAGGAGAGCGTGTGTCGGAGGTTGGCCGCGTGCTTGGTTTAAGTAAGAGCACTGTTTGTACTCTGTGTGGTATATGATGGTTCCCCTAACCTGTACCACTTACATGTATTCTTATGGGAAAATTATGTTTAATTTACGCATTTTTTAATTAAGCGGTGGTTTTCAAGAACGTAACCCCTGCGTAAAACAAGAGGTGGGTGTAGTTTGAATCACTTTGATTATAACACACACATTCATATGTCTTATTTCAGCTCTTCTTT